TTTTAGGTAGTCTAGCATCTACTACACTTGCGCTTTAGAACAAGCAACTTGCAATTAGTAGCTTGTATCTCGCTAAAGAACGCCTACCTTATTGAAAATCTAGCAGAGGCGACGCTTGTGGGCTTAGTTAATAGGTCTATTAACCCCGATACTCTATTCTAAGGTAAGCGCATCGATTGGAAATCTAGCTGTTACTAGTAGGTACAGCGCAGCTCGATCGTACACGCAGTCTGCTTCCCTTATCTCCTTCACAGCCGTACGTTACCTTTTTTTAGTTATAGTACAGACGTTCTCGCCCTTGCGCTTTATTACAGTATCGCTGTAGTTAAAAGTAGAGAGTAGACGCAAAGCAGTGTCTCTAGAAAAAGATTGTTTATAAGAAAAGCTGTAAGTTGCTAATAGGGTTATAAGTAGGTTAAAAGCACGAGACTACTCGCACAGACCTCTTTGCCCCTAGGGGCAGCTTTTATTCCTTGCCCCTAGGGGCAGCTTTCGTTGCTTGCTCTCGATAACAGCCTTCTTCGTTCCTTGCCCCTAGGGGCAGCTTTCGTTTTTCGCCCCTAGGGGCAACCTAACCCTACACTATCAGTACGGTTTAGGCATATAGTTGTCAGATGAAGTAAGCGATACTGCATCATAGACGGTATCACCTATGTATTACCTAGGTATCACCAATGTATCAGGTTTATGTTCAAAAAGGAGAGAGAACAAACCAACGAAAAAGAACAATGATCAAGACATAATCTATCATCGCAATTATAAACTTCTCCTGAGCTCATTTTTAGCATTTAATCTGACAATTAAGAGTCTCACTGCCTTAACCTTACGCGAGAGCAATAGCGCAACCAACAAACCGCGATTCCGACATTATTCTTACAGATTATATGAGCTAGAAGCCTTGGTACGAGCAGCTAGAAGCCAGATGCCTATTACTTAGGGTTTGGCACCTCGTCGACCCTACGAGCGATGCCGTGCCGAAGACAGAGCCGACCCCTCCGACCGAGCCAAACATCGAAACGTATAAGAAACGGGCGGCGATCGGAGACCGGCCTCCAGCGAACCCATCTGATTTAACGAATAGTAGACAAACCGCCTTTAAAACTAATGTAGATTACTACAAGACGCGACTTGACTCGTACAAAGTTGCAGCAACAAACTACAAAGACGAAGATGCAAGGTTAGACAAGCTGTCGGTCTACATTCGAGTAACAGTCTCTGTCTACCTAAAGAAGACGTGCTGCAGACTAAAGCTCTTAATCCGAGAATGGGTAGCTAGTCTAAAGAGCACAGTCGGCATCGACGATGAAGAAGAACAACTGCGCGCTTAGGATCGATACATTGCAGCTTTAAAGCTAATGAGACAACTAACACATTAGGATAGCTAGCTAACTAAGTATAATTACGCAGCAACTATCGCAGAAACTAAAGAAATTAGAGAAGTCTAAAAACTCAATCATGTGATCTAAGACTTCCTGAACGCAGTTAGTAAGGTCAGCCCTAACTAGGTACTAACATTTTAAGACTAAGGGAGACGCGAGCTAGGAATAAATCGAAAAGAAATGATGAAACGCTTCCAAGATCATATAAGCTTATACTACCCAAAAGGGAGACAGCAGAAGGGCGCTTTTGCTGCAAGTGAAGCTTTATATCTCGCTGGCAGTGGTGCATCCACCTAGGACACGGACAGGGACGCCTCTCTCGTGCCCGATAGCGCATTATCTGACCAACCTAAACAGGGGTTAAGGAGGAAGTCCTCGTCAAAAAAACGCCCAGCTGGTCAATTGACCATATCTAAGCAGTCTCAGAATCGGGATAAAGCGGCAGCTAGAGGCACAAAATGCCCTGCTTGTGGACTACGCCATCTTCTTGCCAACTGCCTCTATATTGACGATAACAATGCCCTAGACTAGTTCAAGCCGAGGGAATTAATATCAGAGCTGGTTAAGCTACGCCTACAACACGATCCTGATGTACAGGAACAAGTAAGGGCATTGAAAAGACAACGAACACAAACACCAAGCTTCAAGAACTCTTACACTCCTACGCCTAAGATATCTACTGACTGACTTGAAGGTTGGAAGGTTACAACAATTAATGCTGCGTTCATTGCTGCATCTTTCTAAGCCGAGCATTTAGACTACCTACTACGACACTCCTTTATCCTTGATTCGGGCTCGACGATCCACGTCACGAACGACCGAACTCGACTTCGAAGCCTGCGTCCTCCTGTTACGGCGGATTGCATACTGGCTGGGAACACACGAATTTGGATACAAGGATATGGAACAGTGTGGCTTAACCTGAGAGGTCTATATGGACCAACTAGGCTCGTGCTGAAAGATGTGGCATGGTGTCCAGAAATCCTATGCAATCTAGTATCATTTAGACTGCTTAGGCAACAGGGCGTGTGGTGGGACAATAAGAATGAGCTAACGACTCTTAAGAGGCGAGACGACTCAACGATCGCATGCCTAAAAGAAGCACATGGACAATGGATACTCGAGCAACAAGACGCAATCTAGGCAGTCTTTCACACAAGAACAATTAATTCTCGAGCGAAGCGAGCACTACAGAAAGCTAATGCGATGCGCTGGCATAAACGCATAGGACATCTAGGGCCGGCAGCCATCGAACACCTAGTCCAGCAATCTGAGGGGGTGCGCATTAAGGGAGTTACAACAGTCAAGTGCGACGCGTGCGGAAGAGCTAAAACTAAGCGGCAAATTCGACGCGCGTCTCGATCAAACTACGAAGGCCCTAGAGAAAGACTAGCTATCGATTTCCATTCGTATGAGGAGGGAAGCTTGACGAAGGAGAAGAGTTAAATGCTCGTCACTAATTAATACTCCGGTATCCTATGGGACTTTTACTTCAAGGACAATCGACCTGGGAAGTCAATTATCAGGCTCCTAGATATTATTGTCTAGTTCCTGAAGAAGCAGTACAACATTGCTGTTAAAGTGATCGAATGCGATAGTGAGATTGCAACTACGAAGCCGGAGGTAGCACGATGGTGTACCGCGCAAGCTATACGACTCGAGCCTTTAGCTCCAGATACCCAAGCACAGAACGGTGGTGCTGAACGCTTAGGGGGTGTAGTCAAGGACAAATCTCGCGCGATGAGGCTAGACGCAAACTTGCCGTGGCAGCTGTGGCCAGAGATTACACGGGCAGCGGTGTATCTATACAATCGAACGACATGCTAGCTGACGGTTTTACAAAGGCGCTGCCAGCCAACAAATGGGCACAGTTCCTGGGCCAAATAGGTCTTGCAGAGCGCATGAAAAGCGGAGAAATAACAGCAACACGCCTTGAAGAGATCCAAAGCCAAATTGAGAAGCTAGAGGTTGAACAGGCGTAGCTAGACTGTGATCGAAGCTTCTTGCACACGACATCTAGGTTCGTTAGAAGACAACAGAAGCAGCTCCTGTCCAGCTTGGAATGGTTTCCAAGCTGAGGGGGTGTGTCAGATGAAGTAAGCGATACTGCATCATAGACGGTATCACCTATGTATCACCTAGGTATCACCGATGTATCAGGTTTATGTTCAAAAAGGAGAGAGAACAAACCAACGAAAAAGAACAATGATCAAGACATAATCCATCATCGTAATCATAAACTTCTCCTGAGCTCATTTTTAGCATTTAATCTGACAATAGTATTAAGCCTCTCAGAGGGATAATATATATCTACGTTACGTGATCGTAGCTAGTGTAGGCCGACGGTGTCCCGAAGGGTCCCTAGTGGCTCGCCACGCTGTGGCTGGAACCTGTGGTCGTGGAACATCGTGACAGGCGCAAACTACTAGACCTTCGAAGGCCTAAACTACTAGACCTTCGAAGGCCTAAACTACTAGACCTTCTACGGCCTAGTACGCCTTCGCTTCGCTTCTCTCTCTAGGCTATATAAGTACGCGTACGCTCTGCCTCTTCTAGGCTCTGCGTCTGCTATTTTCTCTACTCCGAATATAAGCTTCTACTTAACTAGTTCGCTCTTCTGCGCGTGAAGTCTGCCTTACAACCAGTTCGCTCTTCTGCGCGTAAAGTCTGCCTTACACTCTACCACGCAAGTTAGGTTTCTGCAAATTCTGTAGATAGTGCAGCTTAACAGTGCGAAAAACATGTCTAAGTTTAGAGCTAATCCGCTAACGGGATCTAAATCCACTCTACCCGTAAAATAATAATCCACCCTACCCCCAAATCTCAGAAATACACGCTATACGCGTAGTTTGTATCACTAACAAAGTAATCCACCCTTATAACAGTGGATTTAGAGCCCTAGGATAGAAGGTGCAGAAGCTAAGGTTTGTTCGGTGAGACTTGATGAGGATGGGAGCAGCCGAGGATTTTGATGAGGCGAGGCGCTAGACAGGGGTCTTGTGCTCTGACGCTGCTTATTGGCTGATAAATGAAGTCTTGTAGCGTTGTATTAAGTCATATATCTTAGAGGAGATAAGGAAGAAATTGGTTGATTGAAAGAATTATGAAAGTGAGCGAATATATATCCTCCTGTCACATAATCAGTGATAAGGCAAGCTACCTATAAGTAGGCCCGATAGCTGACAACAAGCAGCCGTTAGGTCATTAATCTCAAGTCACGAAAGGCGGCGCGAGTTTCAAAATCATTAATGTCCCTCCCCTAATTGCCCTTCGCTCAGGTGTACATTCTCGCATGATGAGGCGCTTAGTAGGCCTTGCCCTTCAAACTTAAGGATGATGCCCTCACTAAATCTGTAGTGCTTCTACTCATCGTACTTCTTATCGCCATCCATTTTTGGCCCGTCCTTTTTGTCATTTTTGTAGTCGTTTTTCTTGTCATCGTCCTCGTGCTTCTTCTTGTCGTCGTCCTCGTGCTTCTTCTTGTCGTCGTCCTCGTGCTTCTTCTTGTCGTTGTCCTCGCGCTTCGTCTTGCCATCGTCCTCGTGCTTCTTCTTGCCATCGTCCTCGTGCTTCTTCTTGTCGTCGTCCTCGTGCTTCTTCTTGTCGTCGTCCTCGTGCTTCTTCTTGTCGTCGTCCTCGTGCTTCTTCTTGTCGTCGTCCTCGCGCTTCGTCATGCCATCGTCCTCGTGCTTCTTCTTGTCATCGTCCTCGTGCTTCTTCTTGCCATCGTCCTCGTGCTTCTTCTTGTCATCGTCCTCGTGCTTCTTCTTGTCGTCGTCCTCGTGCTTCTTCTTGTCGTCGTCCTCGTGCTTCTTCTTGTCGTCGTCCTCGCGCTTCGTCATGCCATCGTCCTCGTGCTTCTTCTTGTCATCGTCCTCGTGCTTCTTCTTGCCATCGTCCTCGTGCTTCTTCTTGTCGTCGTCCTCGTGCTTCTTCTTGTCGTCGTCCTCGTGCTTCTTCTTTTCGTCGTCCTCGTGCTTCTTCTTGTCGTCGTCCTCGCGCTTCGTCATGCCATCGTCCTCGTGCTTCTTCTTGTCGTCGTCCTCGTGCTTCTTCTTGTCGTCGTCCTCGCGCTTCGTCATGCCATCGTCCTCGTGCTTCTTCTTGTCGTCGTCCTCACGCTTCTTCTTGTCATCGTTCTTCCCGTAGTCGTTGTACTTCGGACCATCGGGCTTGACGCAGGCATGCTTGGGATCGTATTTGTCACGAATCTCGCAGCACTTGTTGTAGTCGTCCCATGCCTTGACATTGTCGCTGCGGCCTACGATGGGCTTCGCAGCCACGGTGGCCGCCACGGCAGCGATTACTACTGCCTGGGAGAACCTCATGATAGCGGTTGGGCGGGTGTGTTGAGCGAAAGAACAGTAGAGTAATTGAATAGTCAGTGAACGAAGGATGACGAGCGATAGAAAGTAGCGGCCGACTGGCAAGTGCTTATCTGAGTCTGATAGAAGGCTGATATCAATACCGTGGTATCTCCTTCTCTCTTTATACTTGTATCGCGCCTTCAGGCCTTCCCTCCCAAAGCGTTCATGTTAAGTTCTGTCAGAGAATCATCTGCACAGTTACGTCTAGAGCCTTCGATTCTCCACGTTGGATGAACCTAACAAACTTGGACTCCAGCCATTCAGCACTATACTAGAGGCCCAAGCGTCGTAAGCATGCGAGCTCAATGGTGTGGAGATAGAGATGATCGTGGGAAACGTCACAATCTTCGCAATGCTCACCATAGAGAAGTAGAGGGCACTGAGGGGCTTGCTGCCGGAGTTCTCAACAATCAATCGATCTACAGATTAATTACTCTGTTAAGCGTTACAAGATCACTCTAAGGTCCGCGGATGACCTAATATGTTAATTAATCCGTAGATCAATTAATTGTTGGAAACTCTGCTTGCTGCAGACTCGGGTCCCCGCACTCAGGCAGACTCAGGCCACCGAAATAGGATAAATGGAAGAGATGACGTTATTCTTGCGCGTAGTTATAATATTCACATGCAGTGTGTCCATCAACCGAGTAAGTTACTTGCTTGACACTAGGGCGCTAGAGCACTACAGTGGGCCAGACTAAATTAGTTAGAACCTTAAGTACTAGCGCGCGACACAGGCCAATCACCTTAAAACGATCTGCTTACGTTAAAGCAACCGATTGAACTGGTCGGTCTAAAGGGCCCACAGTCGCTTGGAACCCTAGTGTCAAGCAAGTAACTTACTTGGTTGATGGACACTGGCGATGTTATGCCTGGCAAAGTTCATTTAATGTCTAACAGCCATGATTTCTGCGAAGACTATCGAATATCATGAAAGACTTCGACATGCAGCAAATGATTCTGTCAAAATATATCCCATCCGCAGCAGCATTGAAGCGAGACGGTCGTTCGTGCCACACAGGCCATGATAAAGGTCTAGGCGTATACTTGCTCGAACTCACAGTCGCGCGCTCCCGTGGTTCTAGACTAATAACCACAGGTTAACGTCAGGCACAGCCTTAGCCTACCCTGCGATGAAATTGCTTAATTAGAGCGCCTGATGTAAAGACTTCATCATAGCAGGCAATTGCTGTTGTTCTATGTTCGCGTGAGATGAACTGGATGTACACTGTACCGAAGTTAGCACGCTGTGCAATTGAGTTCGGTAGGGATACTAGCTATAATGCATCAGGCCACACGAAGGCCTTGTTAATTCGTCAGCTTTGGATGCGGGGGATGCTGAAGATCATCAGAGCACAATGGCAATAGAGCAGGAGATTGGCGCGCTATTGTAGATCGAAAGTGCATGAGGATCTCCAATCCCGGCTTTACAGTACTAGAAAGTGCTATAATTGTTACAGTAGCCGCAAGATCAGACCAGAAGTTGTCCCCACCCACCGTCAATAGCGCGGTTCTAGAATTAGCCTGCTCGTTCAAGAAACCTTAGTAGGATCGGTAAAAGAAAATTCATTGACACATGCATTACGCTATTTGCAAGATCATCTAGTCTTACTAAAGAGTGACATGCAATGGTTCTGCACTACTACCATCTCCAAATTGTATTCTTAGTCTTACTATATATCGTGCACCATGCCAGCGCACATGGTTATAAATATAGTTATTTGGATAACTGGTTAAGCAGACGTCAGCGTACCAGAGTCTTTTTAAACCAATCATAGGAAATCTTGTTACTAATAATATCTGTCCAATTAGCTGAAAAGGGCCTTGGTACGCTAACGACTGCTTATCCAAATAACCATATTATAACCATGTGCCCAGGTACGTCGTGCACTGAGCCAGAGCGTTTCACGCTTATCGGTATGATGATCTAACTTTCTCACTCCCAAGCACCTCACACATCGACGTATCCGCCCTTTTGGTTTCGTACCGTCAGTCTCAGCTGACATTTGCATCTCTACCTCCCGAATATGCGAATGTCCCTCTTCAGCACAGTCAGACATGCCAACAAGCAAGTTTTTTGATTGACTTGATTGATTCTTGATCAAAAGCTCAATCAAGTCAAGACATACATGGGCATTATAGAGTAGAGTAGAATAGACCCTAATTCTACTCTGCACTGTAGAATGGACACTGATTCTATTCTACCCTGTAGAGTGTGTAGAACGCTCTATCCGATTAGTAATCGCACTAGTTCTAGTGAGGGGGAGGGGGAGAGAATAACATTGTGATCGCTTTACTATTGAAAACGCGACATCCTTAATACATACAGGGTCTTATCTGTGTCTCTAACCCGTATCCCTCATCCGTATCCCTCATCCGTGTCCCCCGTCGATGTTCTTTATCTCCCATCTGTGTCCTCCAAACCCGGTTCATCCTTATACTCATCCTCATCCTCCTCTGTATCCGTGTCCGTCTCCATCTCGTCGTTTATCGCTGTGGGCACTGTGAGAATGTCCTGAATACTGACAAGCTTATTTCTTAGCCAGTTGCCCGTACATTCTAATCGCTCAAGGTTCTTTGCGGATAGCCGTAGCCTATCAAATGACTGGGTACGACGGGCGCCCTAGGTTAGCCTTGCTGCTGCTAAACATCAACTCCTCCATTAACAACCGCCGGCTTTCGGTCACTAACCCGTGCACCATGCCGCGGAACTGCGCCATGTTGAACTGCAACCCCTTGTACAACAACTCATCGCCGCCCGTCCACTCAACATGCCCGCGCGACGTGGTGTTGTAATGGATCTTCAACCCGTACGTCCGTAAATCTAACATCCACTGCATGGGTCCGTGGCTGCCTCGCACCATGAACCGGTCCATCATCTCCTGCACAAACTGCAAACACCCCTTGGGCTGGCGTTGGCGCGGCCCGCTGCTGTCGCTCTCGTACGCGCTGTCGTCCAACTCGTCCTCGTCTAACGGCCCCGACAACTCTAACGCCTGCTGCACCACCATAAATCGGGCGACTTTGATCACGGCCGACAAAACGGGCGGATACTGCTCGGCGCCCTTCCACCCGTCCTCCTTGACGCCCAACACGGCCAACGCGCACACTAACGGGCTGTCGTACTCCTTGCGCGTAATGGACTGGTTTAACAACGCGATGCAAAACGCTAAACACGCTTTCTGGAGTCTCGACAACTTCGTCGGCTCGACGATGGCGTTGGCGGCTGTGTCTTGGGCTGCCTCCATCTCGTCGATACTTGACTGAACCGCGCCAACCCATCCATGGCCTCCCACATCGCCGCCTCCACGGGCTCGGCCCGCTGCTCGTCTCCATGCCTGCCTCTGGGTTCGAGCTCGGCCACGGGCTCTTCGATGCACGCCATCAACTCCGGCCGCTCCATGCCGACCAAATACGGCAGCCACTGCGTCCGCTCCAGCCACGGGTTCACCTCGTCTCGCTCGCCCTCCTGGATGGTGTTCTGCGCCCGGGTCTCGATGTTGGCCCACGCCCTGGCCATCTCCTCGCCCACCTGCGCCCACGCTGCGTCGCCGTTAACGGGCACGACGTCTGGGCTACTATCGCCGGGCTGGTGGACCTCGAAATACTGCGAGCCCTGGCCCTGGACCAACAACCGCTGGCAATGGATGTTCTTGCAATTCTTGTTAACGCGGTCCTGTATCTTCTTCTGCTCTACTCCACTTAGGCGTCCTCCCTTCTCTGCTGGTGACCAGCTGTAGGCGTCCCGCCAATGGTTTTTAATCACGCGTTCGCTTCGGAATATCTGACGGCAATGGTCTGGGTGAATTCGACACATCAACCCGTCTGTGTACACCGGCAATTGCGGTATGGGTTTAATGGCCTGCCTGGGCACCTCTAACTCGCTAGCGTACTCAATTAACCTAGCCCAACTGCTAACCTCGTCTGCTACTACTTCGGCTTGCTTACGCTTAACGCGGTGGGCGCGCTGCAAATAGCTCTTAACCTAACGTGTTTTATAAGCGAGTCGTCCTTACAAGCGAGTCGTCCACCCTACTAACTTTAATTACCTTCAAAACTACGCAACGCAACAACGGAATAAGGTTGAATAAAGCGATTAATATAGTAGATTAAAATAGTATTTACAGCATCCTTTTTACACGTTTGTAAGTTGTGCCCAGTTTCCCTGCACCTCCTGCAGCGCGCAATAGCCTAGCGGCTAAGGCCTAATCGCTTACTACCTTAACGCTGTTCACGCTCAATCTGCTAGTCAGCCTCCTTTTAAGCTAGTATATCTTCTCCCTCTCCCTTTGTTAAGGTCCTACGCTTCTGTATCTGCTTCTTTTTGCGCTGCCTACGCTTAGTTGCTGCCTTGTTAGATCTCTTAAGGCAGGTAATCTAATCGCGCATAAGCTTAGCTAAGAGCATTATTACCTTAGCCCCCTTTTAAGCTGGTTAATCGCCTTAATAATTAAGGCTAGTAATAAGCTCTTATACTGCTGCACGCGATTACGTATTAACGTTAATTAAGCCTTAAGCTCACGTACGTTGCTTAGTGTACAAGTGTCACGGTAACTACCGTGGTTCCCTTAACACTGAACGCGCTACAGAATCCGAGTGCTCCGCTAAGCACCCGAATTCTGCTGATTGGCCGGCCGGGCCTAGCGCCATGCGCACGGCCCCCATCGATAACTTCTCACCGCCTGTACATGCTAATTCTGTTTCCTTACGCAACGTCTTGTATTACACCAGATATCGTACGTAGCCACAATTAACGCTTCTAGTAAGCTCTTAAACACGTGCTCGTAGCATCTCGTGACACTTGGACTTCTAGATAGTACTTTAACGTTGCTTCGACCTTATCCGCCAACGAGACGATCATAGTAGTCTTCTTCAAACGCGGCCCTACTAGTTTCCTTAGTAATATAACGACCAAGAACACTCTATCTATGCAGGTAACTAGCACGATAAAGAACGGTACTATATACAATATATAGTTAGATGCATCTACGAATACAAGCGTAGTAATCAATACTTCTAATAATTCAATTTACGGCGACTAGGAGACGACTAGTTTCTAGTTCGCTAGTACTAAGGGTAAGACAAAGTATACGATTTTAATTAATAATACTAAGTATAAAATCTTTAGTAGTATTATCTTTAAAAGTATAAGTTAAGTAAACCCTTTAATACGAATATTAGAAGATAGAAGTCGAGACTAATATAGAACATCTAGACCGCACTAGATCACCTTCTCTATAGCACGAACTCGTCTGCTAGTAAAACTAAGCTTATAACACCGCACGTCGGTTAGGCGAACATCTTGCCTAGTACGCATGCCGCTGTCTCCCTTACTCTCCGCGGCGAAGAGATATAATATAATAGTGTTAGATACCACGATAAGAATTAAAGTAACGTACTATTCGCATTAATTATACAAAACTAGTACTAGAGTTATACGATCGTTAGGCCTTATACGCTTATCTAGTTTAATGCGATACTGCGCGACGGTCACGAATACACTTCTAGATACGTGTCAAAGAACGGTGTCTTATAGCTCGCGAGTTGTGCGGAAAGCCGACACTCCGTTAGGCCATAGGGTGCGAACAGTGCCTATCCACCTACAAACACGACCGGAAGAGCATAAGGGCTAGAAGTATACTACAAGCTAGATAATGGAGATGTCTTAACAGCGAACGTTACCACTGGAGCTTCTCAGATTGAATTCAGCAACTACGCGCGTTACATCGCTTCAGTAGAGGGATCACTCTCAGGTTCGCAGAATAGAAGTTATAGCGGCGTAGGAATATAGGAGCTTTTTCGATTCTAGTTATTATCAGCAACTCTTCGTAAGATCACGAAGCTCAGAAGGTAGGGTGTAGATCAGAGGGGTCTTAGTCAATACATAACTCTTTTCCAAGATATTATTGTTAAGACTTAGTCCAATCCGGCCCATATTGGGCTGATTTGGACCAGTTCTACCCACGTGATACTCTCTTAGTCAGCCTTCACTCGAACTAGACTATAAAAGGTAGACAATTACTAGAGTAGCTTACTAGTAATTTATTTTATAAGAATATTAATATTTATTTCTATACACTTAATATATTCTATATTATATCTTAATTAACTACTTAGTACTCTTCAAGTAGCTCTAGATAAATTAAATAAGCGTAAGAGCCGTAAGCGATAATATATCTAGACAGAAGAGACTCTTACTACTAGTAAGGTACAGGGCTTATTAGCTGCACAGGCGGGTAGCAGTCGTGGTAATGGCGAGAGTGCGTTAAAGAGAGTGCGAGGAGAGAGGCGGTGCGGGCGTTGTAAGGAGACTGGGCACAACGCGCGCACCTGCAAAGTAGAAATCAATAGTACTAGTAATAGCGATAGATCTAAGGAGTAATTTGGCTTATTACGATTTTTAATATACTGTGTTAAATGGCTGTAATAATGTTGCAAAGTTGGCGCGCTGGTGGGGAGTGAGCCACTCGCTTGTGAACCACGTTAGACTAATAAATATTAATCTTATAAAGTTAAGTAACTAGTAAGAAAGTCTAATTTATGTTAACTACAACGAGAGTAAATAATAAAGTCTATCTATCCTTATATCCTTATTGCTTTTAGTCCTGTCCTCCGGCCTGGCCTAAGGATCAGAGCCACTTATCCAAGAAAATCTCACCGAGACAAGACCTTTAGTAAAGTCTAGATGTATCAACTGGCAGTGCACTGTACTATATATTTTCGGCCATCGCCCTAGTATATGTCATTAGTACGATATGTTCACATGAAAAGTTAGTTTTATGCTCATTTGACATACGAGGGCTACATCATTCCTAATGCCCTTACTCCCCTGTAAGAAGCAGTCTTTTCTCCTTAGTACAAGAAACAAACAACCTCCTTCTCACTCTACCTGGGGTCAAAGGGACAAACACTTTTAAAATGCAATTCCACTTTCTCAACATCCTTCCCGTCGCATTGCCTCTGATGGGCTCTGCATCTGCTTGGACGAACCTCGTATCAAAGTGCGGAGTGAAACCACCGGATGTACGTCTATCTTTTGACTGCTGCATCAAAGGCTATGCTGATATGAAGGAAATAAGGAGCCGGGAACTGTGATCCGGCCGATGTGGCCGAGTGTACATCAAATCCAATTATCCGTCGAACGGTAAGTTGGGATAGCTTATCCAAATGTCTGTTGAGAGGATGAACTAATAGCAAACCAGTGTCCTTATAGCAAATAAAAATTAATCTCAGGATGGGCAAACCCTCAGGGAGGTTGTGATTGCTATTTTAATTAGTCTGGAAAGAAGAAAGGAGGTTGAGAAGAGGAGACCGAAAAGGAGTATCTAGAGGCCTCACAGCGAGGTTAGCTACAAGAGCGCACTGATAGATGCTAAATTAAATCTCACGCGACGTGCATTGGCTGCGCGGTTTTACCTAGCGCAATGGCTGATCAATCTAATTCTTCGACCCCTCTGTCTGCTCGCCGCTATAACCCTGCGCCATCCTAAATTCCAAAAAAGAGAGTTTTGCTAATAACCCCGAGGGAGAGAAACATTCTTTGATATATAGCCTATGTAAATGTGCTTATGTATACAAGCCCACCATTCTACCTCTACCTATTTCTTAGCAACCCCACCCCTACCTGACTTGTACCTGCTTAGTTACCAGCATAGTATAGAATTACAGGCAGGGGCTACAGATGAATATTCAGGACATATTACTGAATGTAAAAATAAGGAATCAACTTATGGTATAGGTAGGGTAGCTAACGAAGAAGTAACTTGGATATGTTGAGTTAAGACGAAGAACGTCACAATAGGTATGGAGACAGCCCGCTCAGCCCCCTGATCTATATCAAGGTTTTATGACCTTACATTTACTCTATTGCATAATTTCCTGGGCTTGTTTCCACAATCCAACGAGATTCGGTTGCATTAAGCGACTGATTGAATGCTTCTTTGATCAAATTGCTTCCAATCACCCTATCTGCTACCACATTTACATGCGCATAGGTGTGACGGTTTGGCGCTACACCAAGCTGCACTTGGAGGTTGACAAACGTCACGCCTGTGCTATCCTTGAATTTGCCCTGCGATGTAACTTCCGTAGTTATCTTTCGGTTCTAAGGAATCTGTTTACCTGACGATCGATGGTCGCATGGGTGAGTTCCTCTCTGCTAAGTTCAGCTTCCAGTTCTGGATTTCTTCGCATGTCCTCTCTGGAAATGGTGACGACCTTCGAAGATCCTCCCTGAGAGCTTAGTATATTCTCTTGAAATCCGCCCGTGGGGTCGTTGATCAGCCACTCCAACACGACTCGCTCATGGCGGTTTGGTCTAGTGATATTTCCGTTATCGCCCATTGTAGAAAGATGCTGTCTGCTGCAGTAGAAAGATATTTTCTGCTTCACAGCAAGAAGTACGCACATGCAGTACTTATAGCTGTGTAGCTCGGTCTTCTCGAGCAGTGGCATTGTTCCAGAGCGTTATGGACGCCGCATGATTTGGTGACAGATGACTTCTTTTCGTGGAGGTGGCGGAGCAAAATCAAACCTAGCCGTAGCCATCACAGCTGATTGTGGACATGGGTTAGTTTACGAATTTCCAAAAAGATCATGTCATATCAGCTAGCCACAGGTGCTGTGTATTTGGATCAAGGCCTGGATGCTCGTGGCGCTCCTACAATGCAGATACGAATTAACCGACCGCTGCATTGGGCATCTCAGCTGGGTCTGTTTTCCATGGCGCGCAGCTACGCGCCCTTTAGCTATACACGGCTGACTTGCTTTGTTTATGGCCAGTAAGAATACCCAAATAAAAAAATTGAATCAGATCATGACGCAAGATGTGCCCCGCCCTCAGCTGCTCGGCATCCGCCACATACCAGCTTCTTACAGCGGTTTGTAGTACTCAGTTCTTAGAGAAAAAGACTATACTAGTGCTCTGCGGCAGATTCTTTTGTTTCTGCTCTCGTGGCACATCCAGGGGCAATCGAAATAGTCAAGTTATTGGTTATACAGCACATCAGTGTCACTTGATTTTCTGAGCCTTCAAAAATAGCAACAGATGACGTTGAAAGCTACAGAAGTTGGATAATACAATATTTCCCTAAAACCGTAGAAAACTTCCATTCAAAACGAACCCCACGCAATAACTGCAGTTCTTCACGGTTATGATGCTTGTAGGGCCTTTAGGCTAACCATGTATAGTCCAAAACCAACCTTCTGGTCATTACTGAGAGACCCATACCCAGTACCAGCTTTGATGAGTGAATCCTTATCTGCAGGAAAGTTGGATCTCATCCAGGTATCGTACTTGTCGATATTTGTTCCCTGATCATATTTGTTCTTCCAATAGTAGTTCTCTATGGCCTGTGCCATGGAGTTGTTGTCAGGGTCAATCAATGCTTCTAACAAGGTAACTCGTATCTGCTCGTGGTCCTTCAGGATGTCTCCAGATGGTGGTAGCGCGATAGATGGCTGATCGATCTTTCGCCAGGCCACAACATCGACGTCCTTTATGAGACCATCCAGAGTTACAAGCCTGTGTTGCTATGGAAATCGTGAATGATGGGAATTTTGAATGAATGAATGGGGGTTCTACTTACATTCATGAGTCGCCACAGCTTGTAATCCTTAACCGTATTGGCCCAGGCTGGTGGACTTCCTAAAAGTGAGCAATTGTGCGATTGATCAGGATATAGTGCATACATACTTCGAGCAAAGTAATGTATCTCCTCCACGAGCATTCCAAGTCAAATGCGCGTCCTGGAGAAGCGATGCTACACCAGTTTCAGTACCTGTCGACTCAACCTTGGCGACGTTGATTCCACCGCTGGCTTTTGGTGTTTGAATACTCAAACCTGCAGCTATGCGGGTTCGATCTTTGACCTGCTCCAGCGATGACTGCTCTTTGGAAGAGATATTGCGAGTGCTATGTAAATAGCCACCAAGCGTAAACTTGGTTACGAATATCTTGCCTGATAGATTGATACATGGTCAGACAAGTAATATGCAGACACATCATAGATGAGAAACTTACCGTAGGTACGGAAGAATCGTGCTTGTGAAGCGTCATCCGTAATGTGCATCGCATCCGCTCGGCACTCATCCGTTAGTACTAGACATTCAGGGTCAAGTTCCACGACAACACGAGGAAACTAAAGACCTTGTTAGTTTAATGGCAACCTTGATATTGCTACGAAAGACTTGAGCTTACGTTGTATGTGGCAACCAAAGAATCCACGCTCATACTAGTTGATGTTGAGCTCACAGTGGAATGCTCCTTCTCGAATGATGCTGTGATAGTGGCTGGAATAGAAGCGGCACCACCCCCGCTAGGAATATCATGAGCATGTGATAACTTCCCCGATAGTTTGATTTGAACGCGACTTACAGGCTTCCGCCAACGGCAACAGAATCGAAGCCTTCTTTTATAAGCGTGTGCTGAAACTGGGTTCTAATCTCAACAATGCTAACTGTTGCGTCGTCATCGATGTAAAAAGGTGGAATGGCGGGAACCTAATATGTAAATGCCAATATCTATGTAGGATGATTTTTTGAATGCATACTTTGACTTGGGTGCTATCAGAACCACCGGTACTGGGTACACCAACTGGGGCAGCGCCACGCAAGTTGAAAGCTTTTCATTTCTTTAGCAAGATGTGTGATGGTAGGGGAAAGTACCGACCTGGCTTTCTGGCCTTCACAAGTATAGGCTTCGCGTCGTTAGCACCTGACCACTGGTAATAGTATCCAGTTAGAATGCGGTTGTTCTTGAACACAGCGTCCCATTGGGTCCCGTCCAAATCTCCAGGCTCAAGGTAAGCTTTAGAGCCCGCATTAGTAGCATAACTGCCAGACAAAGCTGCCAGATTCTTATCAGAGAATGTGGGCAATTTTCCTGGCACCAGTTCGCCTTTGCTGATTGAATCGAGCATTTTGGATAAACCATCGTTCGTAATTGGCGGCAATGGGATAAGAGGAGCTGTCGCTGTAGCAACATTTGTCACTTGCACCCTGAAGGTTTGAATACCAGGCTCTGCAGCTGCAGGTTTTGAAGCATCAGGTTTTGAAGCATCAGGCTTTGGAGGCTCAGAGTCCCCAGCAGGCGGGGGTGGCTGTGCTTTGTCGTTTTGAAGTATTTTTTGACCCTGATCTTATAAGCAAAAATGACTGGCTTGTGCTAAGTGTAAATCTACCTCGGCTTGCAGTGACATATAATATGCCAGTGTGGTGGCATCGTCGACTTTACTTTTGCCGTCAATGGTGAAGAAAAACTTATCTGGCCTAGAAGTCAGTTTAGCAGAGTAATGAGAGTTGAATTTACTAGATGTTATAGCATACACTGCACTTTTGTTCCGGATCATGGATAGTATGATCTTTGTCACGTCGCCTTGCTCCAGGTCGGAGCTGGGAAAAGATGGGAAGGACGTGCCGACTGGCCCATCTACCACAACGTGAAACTTAGGTGATGCCATGTTACAGAAAGTAGAATAGAATTTTCGGGTGTGCAGGCTGATAGCCAGAGAGTATAGAGATTAGTTGGACAATGCTGGGGCGGCCTTTAGTACTTGTCGAAAGCCTGAAAACTCATGACAAGGGGTATTCGAACGAGCTCTGGCCTGGCTTAGCTGAATAATGCAACGACACGCATGCACACTGCCTTCCGCATCCCTGTGCTATGATAGGTATTATGTCAATGAGCCATCCAAATATCAACATGAATGCATGATACCCATGGAACCCCACCACTACATCTTAGTTCGGGATGGCGAATGTTGTGTGCGACTAATCACAGCATGTATAGATCTTCGTCGGCGTGGGCGAGGGGTGGCTTTACATTTTGTTCTCCTGGAGCTGAAAACTTTATTTCTGGAAGCACGGGAAAAGACAACCATAGGACTTGACTTGTTGTGGCGCCCTATGGTGCGACGTGTCAGTCTCTGTGTGGCTGATTATGGGCTGGAATGTTGCGCTACTGCAAGAGTGGCTCGCTCCAGCCCGTGATGGAACAGCCCGCAGCCTGCACCCCGCACCTCTTCAGCTCTCCACACAAGTGCAAAGCTTGATTTCTTAAACTCCATAACACCTATATCACTGCATAAAGCAGTCGCATCGAGTTAGACCTTACCTTTTTTTCTTTCCGCTGTGCGCACGCTGGTCTGCAAGTCAGAAATTCGCAGCCATCATCTGACATGGATAGTGTAGGTCAATATCTTGGTGCATATGAATGGCTTTTGGCTTGCAGAAATGTGACCCGATACTCAGCCCCCATGGACCTTTGCGTCTAGTGAATAGGCCAGCCTAGAAAAGGTGCACTACAAGAAGGCATGATATCTCGACAGTCTTGAGAAAATCAACACCAGCTACCACTTCACAATCTTTTGCCATCAAAATTCGTCAAACGTTGAAAATTCCTGTCATTTATTGATACAAAATGACTGACAGCACCGTGACCACATGGACACCAACCTCCGAAGCTGAGATCAAAGCCAAAGAAGCGTTCGAGAGTCTCAGTGAATCAGTGGATCGTATTGTCTCCCGCAACGCTGTTGGAGAACCAGCCAGATTCATTCTTAACTCAAAGGGATATTTTGGTGAGTCATTGTATGTGTTTTTGTGTTTTTGTCTGACAAGGAAAAGCCGTCAAGGACTATGCAGAAACTGGCAAATCGTTTCCCACCACCGACGAAGAATTCGAGAAACAGATCAGTAAAAGTGCCTTTCATAAACTTACCGATGCGGATCCTGATATATACGCGGTACATATCTACACAATCACTCGTTAAACAATACTTACGTTTGCAACAGACGACTCGAAAGACAATGGTGAACATCGGCTCGAGCTGCTCTGATTTCGCTAAGAACCATCTTACCAGTCTCAGTAAGCTTTCCAGTCACACAACTCTATGATTGCGCCTGCTGATGATGCCTTGAAGTCAGTTGTGCACAGGACGCTATCCAATATAGCGACAACGCTACCACGTGGCTTTCTGGTATGGATAACGTAAACTTGCGTTCACAGTTGGAGATACTATTCAATGAGAAGTACACCTCCAAAGACACCCAGGATGATGCCTACAGAAATGCCTTGGAGATTGCAAACGCGTCGCTCAATGTACTCAAGAGTGAGGCTTTAGAGAAGAAAGAAGCAACAAAGAAGGTTCTTGAAGCACTGTTGCGTGTACGTCTCCCATATCCTTCACTGTCGTAGAGTATACGTCTAACAGTAATCCAGTTCCAAAATGAGACGATATCAAACCACAGTGACATGGAATACCTCGTCACCCAGTATGAGACGGGTCCAGTCAAGGCAAACAGTATCACCTCAGACCCGTTTCTGAAGTATTTGAATGCCGATCTGCAAGAGAAAAAGAATTCTCTGCTGGGTCTCATCACAGAACAGAACGACAAATACGAAGCCTGGGTATGTTCCACTCGAGAGAGTGAGATAAGTAAAGCTGACTCGTAAAAAGCAAATACATACAGGCGTCGCGTGCGGCTCAGTAGTGGTACCAATTATTGGATGGATCAGCATGGCTGTCAATACCGGATTCGCCATTGCGCGCCGCAATGAGTATGAGGAACTCGTCAAACAGGTCAACAAAGCCAAGACAGACAACCAAGAAGAAACTGATCTGATCGAGTACGTCAGTAAAATGGTAACACAAGGCAAAGGTATAGAGAAAAAGATGGAAGCTGCTGTCGCCGCAATGCAAGAGCTGCACGATCTATTCTCCAACCAGTCAGAGTGCTTTGACAAGGTTGCGACTTACCTCTCAGGGATGCAGGCGGGCGTCAAGTTGGACAGTCTCACGAGCAGAAAATTATTCGTCATGAACTCCATGACATCCGCACTCAAAAAGCTCAAAGATGTAAGCTCCGCTATCGTCGAATAAGTAAAAAAGTGCTGACATGCTGGACTTGTAGCTGAAACAGGTTGCACAAGAATTTGTCACTAATGCTGTTCATTCCATCGATCTTACTAAGAAAGAATGACCGGTACGCGGACGATGCCGCTAGTGGGGTCATGGGTTCTTACACTGTTGTATTGATTCGCTTGATGGCTCGCTGTCACGATGTTCCATCACCACAGGATTCCAGCCACAGACTGGTAAGCCACCAGGAACCCTTCGGGGTACCGTCGGCTCACACCAGCCACAATCACGTGACGTAGGTATATATCATCCCTCTGAGAGGCTTGATAGCTCCTCAAGGATTCGTCTCAATACAAGCCTATACCGATATCTCAGTGCCTGCCCAACTACTCCTCACACTCGCAGACATACTAGTCTTGACATTGCAGCTCTTCAGATGTTGAAATATAAAGTTTAAGCTTACATTTTCATACCTATTATACTTCCCTTCTACCAAATCCCCACATCCGTATGAAAATCCTCGAACTTATACTCTTAATTATGCCCCCTCGCTAAGGCGTCTTATATATACTCTTAAGTATACTTTTTTACTTAATGTACTATTATAGGCTAGGTCCCTAGTAGGGTACTATAAGGAGCCGAAAGATACTATATTACTTATAGAATAGAGATATACTTAGTGTCACGAGATGCTACGAGCACGTGTTTAAGAGCTTACTAGAAGCGTTAGTTGTGGCTACGTACGATATCTGGTGTAATACAAGACGTTGCGTAAGGAAACAGAATCAGCATGTACAGGCGGTGAGAAGTTATCGATGGGGGCCGTGCGCATGGCGCTAGGCCCGGCCGGCCAATCAGCAGAATCCTGGTGCTTGGCGGAGCACTCGGATTCTGTAGCGCGTTCAGTGTCAAGGGAACCACGGTGGTTACCGTGACACTTAGCTATAAAGACTATATATATTAGTTAGCTGGATACCCCAGGGTTAGTGTCGAAAAGCTGGCCCGTGCGTAGGGTTATGATGATGATGATGATGATTCCATTAAAGTCCTTTTTCAGCCAAAGGCTATGCAAGACTGTGGCGTAAGCCGTTCTATGTAGCGTTTATATATATAACGTAGGTCACAAGCGAGTGGAACCTTCAAGCGAGTGGAACCTTTTTGCCAAGACCTAACCAAACCTGCAACTACGCACTACTATGCAGCACCGTTAAGAACAGTAATTAATATTCGTAGTAGCCTAATTTATTTAGAAATATCTACTACATCCTACGTACATGTGCGCGAGTTGTGTCCTACCTCGCCGCAGCGTCCACAGCGTCTTTGAGACGATTCGCCTACTTTAACGCGCGCCTTCTTCTTTGCCTTCTTCCCATCGCTGCGCGCCCTAAACTCCTTTAGAGTTGTTAGTCGAAGACCTTCCTCTACTACAAGGGTCCCCTCCTTCTGTACTCGCTTTCTTTTATACGATTTACGTCGCGTGGCAGCCTCGTTAGCTGCTTCAAGCTCAGCGATACGCTTTTGCGACAACACTAAAGCATGCGCCATCATCTCTGCGCCTTTAGAGAGGCTTTTCACCGCCTCAACCATCGAAGTAGGCGAGCTATCTACATGCCTCTGAAACCTCTCGAGAACTAGCTTCGTTTGAGACCCTAGTTCTACGGTATTGCTTGGGGTTTGCGACTGCCAGGGACCGTCCTCGACGGTGGGTAACGGTGGAGTACGCAGGCGGACGTCGAGCGTCGATATAACAGCCTCTGGATCGAATGGAACTAAGCCAGCGCCTCGAAAGCCTCCTAGGATATTGCTTCTGTAATAGAGGCCTTGTAGGCGGCAATAAAGCACGGTAAGAACTCTGTTTTCGTGATGTGGGTGATCTTGTTGCGCATCAGCTTCTCGGCTTGGCACCCATACGCCTTCTTAGCGGCGCAAAACAGCCAACGTCAAGCGGCTGCAGTAGGTGCGAGGAGTGTGGAGGCATACAGAGGGTGATAATCTTCTTCTCCTCGCAGAGCTGGTGGAAATCGATCGAGCTGTGGCTCTCGTGACCGTCGAGAACTAGCAGGCGGTGGCTGCCAACAACCCTCCCCTTTGTATGCCTGTCAAAGTGCTCTAGCCACTCGATACCAAGCTTGTTTGTCGTCCAGCCGTTCTCAGAGACTGCAATTACCCAGTCTCGAGGCAGGCTCTCCTCCTTGTACCAGGCGGAGAGGTGGTGCTTGCCTTGGAAGATGATGAAGGGTGGAATCGCCCACCCCGTCGCGTTCATGCCCTGGATAGCTGTAACCCACTCCCGGTTGCCCTGCTGCACTGTCTTTGGCCGTCCTCGACGGTCTGCTGCTGTGACTACCGCGCCAGTCGATATCACGCCCATCATGAAGCCAGTCTCATCAAAGTTGTACGTGTCTTCGTCCTAGATGCCGTACTTAGCCTTCGTATTCTGTACTAGGCGGAACCAGCCTTGTATAACCTCAGGATCCTCGCAGAGGGCTCTACTATAGTCGTACTTTCGATTGAACTTGACTTTGAGCTTAGGGCGACGCTTTACAAAGTTTGCAGCCCACCTCTTGCCAACTGGCTTCTGATTGCGGATCTTAAGCAAAGAATTAGCCATCTCTTCAACGTCAGCAAGCCTAGGCGGATATCCTTGCTCTATTAGCTTAAGAACATGCCTAATAATCGCTACCTCTTTAGATCCTCGAAGAGCCATTGATTTAGGCTCACAATCGCGTCGATAGGGCGTTCCAGCGAGTCGTCTTCGTAGTGTGCTTTCAGAGACGTTGTAGGTAGCTGCAGCGCGTCGCGGCTTAAATGTCGCGTCTTGTTGGATAGCCTGCAAGGCAAGCTGTATATTTCTTTCGTTTGAGGTCTTTCTAACATTGTTGCGTTGAGACATTACAGGTAGGCTTCAAGTTTGGTTGGGTCTTGGCAAAAAGGTTCCACTCGCTTGAAGGTTCCACTCGCTTGTGACCTACGTTATATGGTTTTCTTTAGTGCTGTACAGTATGGGGGGTGTTTGGCGTGTTCCTATAGTAGCTAGCGAGTCGCTGCTATAGGCGCTAGTGCTAAAGAGCAGTTTGGACAGTAGGAAGAGATGTAACAGCGGGCTCTTTTAGTCCTGTGTATAAGACGCAGGTGTAGAGAGCTGTTATAAGCTAGTCTAGCTCTCTTCTTTGCTTCTAGGTCGTTATTGTAGGCTGTGCTAGCTGCCTTCTTGTATGTTGCTCGTGCAGGTACTGCGGAGCGCTTAGATATAGGAGGTCGGTATATCGAGTCGTTTAGGAGATTTCGGTGTAGGTAGACAGCTAGGTACCCAGCTAGGAAGCCTAGCTGTCGTTCTGTTGTGTGTGTTCGGTATAGGGGGTCGGTATATCGAGTCTTTGGGGTCGTTCGGTATTATAGACGTCTAGATATATAGGTCGATTGTTTCACTACGACAATAGACCTATATACCTAAGGAAGAGCCGTTGCTCTGTCGATTTCGTGTGTAGGAGGCCTTCGATCGAACATCTAGGATCAGTTGGCGCACGGACTATTTGCAGAGTTTTCTAGGTCAACAACTCCTAAATAACTGCAATAGCCTGCGCGCCCGCCACAACGCCTGCGACAACAAAGTAGGCGTTGGAAACTGATCCTAGGAAGGCATTCAATGGATTGGAGACGAGAAAAGAGGCTAACCAGACCTTTCGCTCGCCTCGAAATGTTGGTGTTCGATGGTCTAGTCCGGTTCTATCGCTGCTCTATTGCTCCTTAAGTAACGTCCTTCTCTAGTCTTTCTTTAGTTAGCTATTAGAGGCTCGTATAGTAGCTATATAAGAGAGCCAGTCATCTAGGGCTTTTAAATCTTTAACGTACGTAGCTAGTTCCTAGCTGCCCTCGTCGTAGCCCTTCTATAAAATAAAATATTAGATTTCCCCATTTCTTGTCCTCTCATTCGTGATGCTATGCACTCTCCACTCGAAATGGTCTTCATCTTCGTCTTGTTCTCGTACGACGATAGCTGCGGGGTTGCTATCGTCTGTTTGTTGTGATAGTAGTGGGCCGTTCGCCGCTAGACGAAGTTTATCGACGTAAAAAGTTTTCGTCTTCTATAGCACTGCTAGCTCTATCTAGTATAGGTCTCGTACACGCGATACTTAGAATTTAGTATTCTTCTAATCTAGTTTCTGTTAAGATTCGTACTAGGCTGATATGTATCAGCTGTTGGAATCGGTGGTGATCGATAGATTCTAGTGCTGGATAATTGGACTGTATCGGCTAGGGGAGAGGAGTAGATATCAACGACTAATTGATTGATCTTGATCAGATTCGCGTGACCGTTCTTCTCTGATCAGACACTTCGTACTGCTCTGCTCTTCTATCTACTTGCTAAGCTACTACTATATATATTGACTGGATTAGATTCTAGAACAATCTCTCTTATAGCAGCTTGCGTAATCTTGAAGTCATAGATAGTTAAGTGTTAATCGATTAATCACAGCTATTAATCACGGCTTTGATATCGATCGTGGATTGGAGATCAGCTGAGTAGCTTATATCTCCAACACGCCCCCTTAAGCTAGGAAGCTTGAATCTGTCTTACTTGATTAATATCGACTAGATTTGATCTAGCGATAAAATCGCGGATTTTGTCAGCGCTTACTGCCTTAGTGAGACAGTCGGCCAATAGACAGCTGGTGTTTTGGTAGATCAGTTGGATCTGTTTTGCCTCTACCTTCTCGCGCACAAAGTAGTATTGTATGTCGATATGCTTTGTCCTGGCATGGTAGGTAGGATTTTTGGTCAGTTGGATCGCACTCTGGCTGTCCGAGTTGATCGTAGTAGCTGATTGATCGTCGAGTAGAATAGGATATAGAGCTTTGATCTCTTGGATGAACTGCTTGAGATATATGCTCTGTTTGACTGCCTCGCGATAAGCCATAAATTCAGCTTCAGCGCTTGAAAGTGCTACTGTTGGCTGTAGCTTTGAGATCCATGAAATTGCACCGCTGTTCTTGTTTGATTGAAGCAGAAATAGATATCCAGTCGTGGATCGTCTGCTGTCAAAATCGCCCCCCCCCAATCTGCATCAGTTGATCCAGTCAGTTTGATCGTTGCTAGGCTAATTAGTGCAGATTGCTCGTTTTTGGAGCTGTTCTTTGTATCAGCATCAAGCTGATATAGTAGTCCTAGTTGTTTTGTCTGAGATAGATATCCCCATAGATAATCTAGACTACTGAAATGCTCAGTGCTTGGATTAGACATGAATCGTGATAGCAGATTGATTGCTTGTGTGATGTCCGGCCTAGTAAAAGTTAACAAGTAGATAAGCGATCCGATCTGTTGCTGGTAGTTATTGATCGCTTCTGGTGTCGCTGTCTGATCGTTTTTGCAGAGTTTGATGTTCTGCTGAAGTGGTGTTTTTCTTGGCTTTATCTCTTGCTTATTGAATCTAGCAAGTAGCCTTTAGGAGTAGTTTTCTTAGGTGATATAGATCGATCGATCAGATCTATTTACTTGGACTCCAAGAAATTCAGATACATCGCCCATATTTTTGATCTCAAGATTAGAGATCGTGGAAAGATTATTGAACAATTTGTCGATATTTTGCTCGTCTTCTCCAAAGATGAGCAAATCGTCCACATGAGTAGCGATTATGATTTTTTGCTCGGTATTGATATAGGTGGCTGTATCGATCGACAGTGGTCGAAAATTCAGCTGGCTGAGCAGGCTTGATAGCAGCTTTTGCCACTGTCTGCCGGCTTGTTTTAGTCCATACAAAGCCTTGTTGAGTAGGCAGACATGATTAGGATGTTGTGGATCATGAAATCCTTCTGGCTGCTCGATATATATCGTCGCATCGATCAAGGCATTTGGGAAGGCTTGTTTGATATCCCAGCTCTTGATACACCAGTTTTGAGCTGCAGAGACTGCTAGTAGTAGTCTGATCAAGTCAGGCCTAGTTGTATTAGCAAAAGTCTCGTAGTAATTGACGCCATGCTCTTGTTGAAAGCCTTTAGCTACCCATCGAGCTTTGAAGATAAAATCGCCATTTTGCTGGTATTTCTTATTAAGTACCCAGCGGCCTTTGAGCACTTTCTTATTGGACGGTCTTTGGACGAGCGTCCAGGTGCTGTTTTTCTGTAATTGATTAAGCTCTTTTTGCATTGCTGATATATACTGCTGACTGTTTTCATGTCGCAGCACTTGATCATAGTTTTTGGGATCGGTGATATCCTTTGAAGTAAACATGACTTCTTCTAGGATAATGTCCTCAGCTGATTGTTCTGTTTCGGTCTGATTAGTCAATAGAGCTATTTCTGTTGATTTTGCTCTCTTTTGGATCAGAACAATTGGATTTCTGCCAGTTACTCTTATAGAGTTGTTTGGCTGATCGTTTGACTTCTGGGCTTGGACAGCGATCTGATCGGTATTCTGATCCATATTTGGATCGATATCCTGATCAGTATCCATTTGAAGTTCTTCGTCAGGAGTTTGATCATTAAATACTCCTTCAAGTATTTGGACGTCTCGAGCAGTTGTGACTTTGTTAGCTTTGAGATCAATCAGCCGATATAGATTCTTGCTGATATATCCAACTAGATAGTATTGCTGGACTCGTGGATCTAGCTTGCCAATAAATTCCTTTAGCTCTTTGCGATATGCTAGTGATCCCCAGATTCTGATATTGCTAACGTCCGGTTTGCGCCCATATTTGGCTTCATATGGTGTCTTGAAGCCAATCGAGCTGTGCGGAGTTCTGTTGTACAGGTATACTGCCGCATTCAGTGCTTCTGCCCAGAGTCTGTTAGGCATTTTGGCATCAAATAAAAGAGCTCTGATCTTATCAAACAGTGTTCGATTGATCCTTTCGGCTCCGCCTTTGCCTTCTAACCCAGGGCGTTAAGTCGACTCAGCCCTAACCCAGGGCGTTAAGTCGACTCAGCCCTAACCCAGGGCGTTAAGTCGACTCAGCCCTATCCCAGGGCGCTATTTGGGATCAGCCCTGACCCCAGATAATCTAGTGCTGCAATATACACATTTACCTGCGTTGAATTCGTTACGGGGGGCTCGCCCCAGAAGACTTCGAGGTGCTGGACCAGTTAGGTTCCCATAGGTTAATAGCTCTAAAATTTAGATATGTTAATTAGCGCGTTAAGCTGCACGTTAACACCTATTTGCAGCCCTACAGCTATCCCAGGGCGGTACTTGGGATCAGCCCTATCCCAGGGCGGTACTTGGGATCAGCCCTGACCCCGGATAATCTGGTGCTGCAATATACACCTTTGCCTGCGTATAGTGCGTCACGGGGGCTGGCCCCAGAAGAGTTTAAGGTGCTGGACCAGTTAGGTTCCTGTAGGCTAATAGCTCTATCATTAATGGGCGACGGGATTAACGGCTATAGCCCTTAATCCCCTAAGAAACCCTGAATGAGCGACCCTTAATCCCCTATCATTAATGGGCGACGGGATTAACGGCTATAGCCCTTAATCCCCTAAGAAACCCTGAATGAGCGACCCTTAATCCCCTAAATTCGAAAATGCAAAGGATTTAAGGCGTCTTAGGTCGCAAGATGCTGCAACTTTACACCCTGGTGCAGCAAGCTTAGGCGCGTCGATTGCACTTGCTTTAAAGATAATCCGACTGTTGTGGAGGGAGATATGTGATGAACAGTGTTGGGGTGGTCGTGTTCGTTAGGGTTAGCCGTGCGCGCAGTATCGCGCCGATAAGGGTTAGGGTTATAGGGCACAGCGCGTTAGGGTTAGATAGGGTTCGGGGTAAACACCAAAAAACAACGTCAATCGACGTACGCTAGATTACCGTAGCAACACCGCACACTCAGCAGGATCGTACAAGTTGCAGTAGCACCTACATAGCACGTAGCGCATTTATTTGTAGAACAGACATTAATAGCATGGATCAATTTTACGCCATATTTGAATACTTGCCCGCACATCGCATTGCCGTGTGCAAGTATTACTAACAGGGCATTGTAAAGTCCTAGCTAGAGGGCTATTTAAACAAACAACACTAAGAGTATGTTTGGGGGACACGGCAGAAGATTGTACAGGCAGTGCAGGAGGAGACGTCGTTGCAGCAGTGGGCCGCAACCCAGGATGAGGTTGTTTACCCCAGTCCAGACGCCGCGCCGTTGCCCTATTTGTCCGTGTACTATAACGGATTGCAGTGTTTGGCGTGCCCGTACATTAACCGCAGCATTAAGAGGATTTGGGATCATTGTAGAAGAGAACATAATTGGGAGGACTAGCGCTGGCTATTAGAAGACTATTAGCTAAGCACACAACCCGCGTGGAGGATAGTATCGTGCTAAAAACTGCACAGCAGGAGCAAGTTTGGCCGTTTGTTCCAGGTTAGTGAAGACGCAGCGGTCCCGCGCATAGGCGACAGCGTAGACATGGACGTAAGCCAGGCGATCGAGTCGTCGTTGAGTCAAGCCA